AAAAAAAAAAAAAAAAAAAAACTTATTGCCAAGCCTGAGGTCACCTCACTTATCTCCTATACTATCATCTAGAGATTTTATAGTTCCATATTTTACAGGTAGGTCTATGATCCATTTTGAGTTAATTTTTGGAAAAGTGTGAGATCTGTCTCTAGATTTTTGCATGTGAATGTTCAGTTATTCCAGCATTAGTTGTTGAAAATACTATCCTTTCTTAATTGAATTGCCTTTTCCTCTTTGTCATGTATCAGTTGACTATACTCGTAAAGGTCTATTTCTGGGCTCTTTATTCTACTGCATTTATCTATATTCATCTATTCTTTCACTAACATCACACTGTCTTGATTACTGTAGCTTTATAGTAACTCCTGAAGTCAACAGTGTTAGTCATTGTTCTTTCACATCGTTTTGGCTGTTCTAGGGTCTTTTTCCTTTTGATATAAACTTTAGAATAAATTTGTCAGTATTCTCAAAGTAACTTGCTAGGTTTTGATGAGGATTGTGTTGAATTTATAAATCGAGCTGGGAAGAAGAGATCTTAATATGAGTCTTCATATCCATGTATATAGATATCTCTACATTTATTTGGGTCTTTTTTTCTTTTGGTATTTAAAATTATTATTTTAATTTATTTAAAAATTATCAGATTATTATAAGTCAAAAGGGGTTATAGGAGATAAAAAAGTATTATATATTGATAAAAGTTTCAATTAATCAAGAATATGTAACAATTATAAACATATACACATCTAATAACATAGCCCCAAAATATATGAAGCAAGCAAATGGACATTTTAAAAGATTGTTATCATACAAAATATCTTTTCTGATCATAATGGAATGAAATAGAACTCAATAACAGTCTAGGAGGGAAATGGATAGCTGTAAATGTATATATTAACAGAGAAGAAAAATCTCAATTTAGTCACCTAACTATATACACTAAATAACCAAAAAAAAAGAGAGCAACTAAACCCAAAGGTAACAGAAGGAAATAATAAAAGACTAGACAGGAGATAAATAAAGAATAGAAAAGCAAAAGAGAAAGCCAAAATTTAGTTCTTTAAAAAGATCAACAAAATGTGTATGAATAGAGTTGTTCATAATATTCCTTTGTTATCCTTTTAATGTCTGTGGGATCAGTAGTGATGGCCTCTCACTTCTGTTAGTAATTTGTACCATTTTTTTTTTTTCAGTTAGCATAGGTAAAGGTTTACTGCTTTTACTTTTCAAAGAACCAGCTTTTGGTTTCCTTGATTTTCTCTAAAATTTCTTGTTTTCAATTTTATTGATTAGTAATCTAATTTTTATTATTTCTGTGTACTTTGGATTTAATTTGTTCTTCCTTTCTAGTTTACTAAGGTAGGTTAGATCATAGACTTTTAGATCTTTCTAATATATGCATTCAAAGCTATAAATTTCCCTCTAGCACTGCTTTTGCTGCATCTCACAAATTTTGATAAATCATATTTTCACTATCATTTGGTACAAAATTTGTTTTAATTCTTCTTGGGACTTCTTTGACCTGTGTGCTATTTGGAAGTGTGTTGTTTAATCTTCTACTATTTGGAGATTTTCTGACGGTCTTTCTATTATTTTTGTATTCAATTCTATTGTGGTTTGAGACCACACTCTGTATGATGTCTATTCTTTTAAATTTGTTAACATGTGTTTTATACCCCAGACTGTGGTATGTCTTAGTGAATGTTCTATGTGAGCTTGAGAAAAGTATTGATAGTAATGTTCAAATATATCCCTATTGATTTTCTGCCTGCTGGGGTCAGTCCATTTCTGATAGGAGGTTGTTGGAGTCTAAAACTATAATAATGGACTGGTTTATTTCTCCACCACAGGCAATTCTATTGTTAGGTTCATCCACATTAGAGATTATGTGTTCTTGGGGAACTGACTCCTTTTTCATCATTCAGTGCCCCTTTTTATGCCCGATGATTTCCTTTGCCCTGCTCTGCAGCTGGAAGGAAGCCTTGCCCAGCGTGAAGTCCACCTCTGAAGGCGGCACTTCATCTCTTCGTGAAGGAGTGGAGAGTCCCGGTTTGTGCAACGTTGTTTTAGATGGCCTGCTGCTATCTACAGAGGAACAGCCAGGGATGAGTCATGAAACGTCAAGTATTAATGTCGGAAGTGTGGGTCTGACCTGTGTCCACATTCACCCCAAGAGTGGCTTGTCACCTTAGTTTTTGTCTAATAGAACAGGATGAAACTGTTGGCATTTTCCTCTAAGCCCTTCACGTTTAGCAGTGGCCGCCTACAGTCTGGCTACACGCTAAGACATTTTTGCCCTTGGTGAGCAACTTGCAAATGAATTTTTTCCTTGTACAGTCTCTTTGATGCTTCAGGGCCTCCCGCAGCTCCACCAAACTCCGCTGCCCGGCGCCTGGGGCTGGGGCTGGAGGCGGCAGCGCCAGGACGTCCTGGCGCGAGCCAGGAGCCACCGCCCCACCCGGGGCCCCGCGCGCGCCCACCGCGGCCGTTAGGGATCCTGATCCGTTACCGGCCGCCATCTAGAAAGCCAGCCACCATGTCCTTCCGTCAGAAACCACTCACGTATTGCAGAATGGTTGGATCATATTTGGGGTACCTACCTTGCAATCTATTTAATCATTGGGGGAGAGTAAATCTTTAAAAATGTATTCTTTACACCGAAAAAGACTAATTCCTATAATGAATCTGCAGGTCCATGTCTGTGGGTGGCAACTCGATGTGATTACAGAGCCACTGAGGTCTTACAGTGTGGGGAAGTGGGTTTGGATTTTCGTGCCACACAGGTTTGATTTCTGGTCAAATGTTTCTTAGTTGTGCGATCTTAATGCCAATTTCTTCCTCTTTAAAGGATTGCTCAATTATGTCTATGCAAAGGACCGACGGATCTTGGTGAATACCAGTGGACTGTGATCAACTTAATCAGCGGGTCGCTACAGTTTGGCTGCTGTTCCGGATGCCTTGTCATGGTTGGAGCCAATCAACACATTCTTTCGTGCCTGGTATAGATAGCTAAGTTGGAAGTACTTTACCTCCTGAGTTTGTTTATATACATAAATATGATGTGTATCTGTAAAGAATTCAAAACATACAGTCAGAAGAAAGTAAAGGTAGCCTGAAAGCTGTACCCTGGATTAACCACTAATATTTGGGGAGCCCAGTGGGCAAGGGAGCCAGAGGGTGTCACTGGTATGTAGCCCCTCGCTCTCCCTGTGTTTTCAGCACAGCCTTGCTGCCAGCAGGGAAGCCTGGGGCCCCAAAGACCGGAGCTTCTTTGAATCGATATTTCCAGAGAGGAAACCTTCAGTTCACTGCTAGTGGGGAGCAGACAGGGGCTGCCAACTATTCTGTATTCAGATTTCCAGTCACTCCTGATTTCTCGCCCACCTGTTCCACCACAGGGTCCTGATGCCTTTTGAGGGGCCTGTGGCAGGAATGAGCTGACTTACACTTTGCCACAGCTGGCTTAGGTTTTGGCTTTCTTGTGCTTGCTAAAAATTTGCTACTCACACATCTGCATTCTTGCTTTCAAAATTTTGCTATTTTCCCTTTGCCACTTGTATTTGTCTTTGTGGTTTGACTTTAATTATTCTCTTTATTATCATTCTAATGGCGTTATGGGAGGGAGTAGAGGGAAATGTCCTTGTTCATTTTTTTATGATTAGTGGGAAGTATCATAAAATTCTTGCATTTTTATGCATTAAGTTTTATCTAGTGTCCTGGAACTTTTAGACAAAGTAACTAGTGTGTGTGTGTGTGTGTGTTAGAATAAGACAGCATCAGCACTAGATTCAGATAGTTGCTTTAATTTTATGCTACTTAATCATGATTAATATCCCTTATTTTCCCCTTGTATTTTATAGATAGCTTAAGTTCTAAAATCTATTCTTTCACATACTGACATTAAATCTGTGTCAAAGTTTAGTCCTTTTCAGGAAAAAAAATAGAATCTGCTATGCCTGGAATTAAAAATTTTTCAAACTATAAGTAGGACCTCTTCTTTTTTGGTAAACATGCTATTGTCCCACTTATATACAGTAAGAAAAACTTTAGAAACAAAAAAAATTGTAAAGAAAATAAAATTTATCAAAGCTATTATAAAAAATAAACCTATGATCATTTCCATTTTTAGTCCCCACTTCCTTTTGACTTAAAAGCACTCACACATAAGTCAATTTATGCCTATATTCCAAGCAAGTAGGACAAATAAATGCAAGTGCCAATTTCATTCCAATAGTTGTTTGTTTTTCACATTCTCTTGGGTGCAAGTGATAGAAACTCATCTTTAACTAACTGGAATTGAAAAGGTAATTTGAAAACCTGGGAATTCCAAGGGTTTATTTAGCTCTAGTTATAGCTGGATCAAGGGGAAGTGTCACATGACATTGTCAGGATTTGATTGCTGCCAGCCGCAGGGACACACTCCTCTTCCCATCTTTGCTTCCATGACCCTGGTCCAGGCCACCATGACCCCTCACCGGGATTACAGCAGTGTTTCCTGGAGTCTGCCTACTGCTGCTCTTGTTCCCCGAAACACTTTATCTCGCACAGGGAGTAGGCTTATGTCAATTCTCTGTGAAACTCCAATGCCTCCCCATTCCTGCAGATTAACAGTCTTTACAGATGCTCATCTCTGGGAAGGGGGGAGGGCAGCGGGCTCGGGGTGGAAGGAGGCCAGACCCCCTGCAGACCCAGAGCCGCGCCAGCCTCACTTGCCCAGGGCCTGGGGTCAGGGGCCTGAGGTTGAGGCAGGCCAGGGCTGGCGGTGTGCTTGCAGGGGAAGAAGCGGAGGGGCGACAGAGTGGAAGCGGGCCTGGGACGGGCCTGCCGGGGGCCTCCACCGCCCAGCCGCAGCGGGGGTCAGACCCGGCGCCCCCCCGCCCGGGAGCCCCTCCCCACTGTCCCAGGGGCGCAGGGAGGAAGGGTGGCCGCGGGCCCTCTGCGCCAGCAGCGCGCCCTGCCTCTCGGGGAGCCTCGCCGGCCTCTGCAGCGGCCCCGTCTGCGCTCACCGGCCCGCGTTTGTGTCTCTTACAGGCCATCCCTCCCCGCCAGGCGGAAGAGCCCGGGACGCGCCGGGAGCGACGGCGCCGGGAAGGCCCGCGGGCTGCGCGGGGCCCGGTCGGCAAGAGCGGCGGCCCGTCCTCAGCTCCCGGCAGGGCGGCTCGGAGACGGCGCCCCTGACGGCCGCGGAGGCGCGGCGAGTCGGCGGAGCCTCACCTGCATCCCGCCTGCGGAGCGGTGAGCGCGGCCTGGCCGCAGACACCGCCCACCCGCTACCCACTGCCCGCCGCCCACCACGTGCGGCGCGGTGGCTTCCCGGGTCTTTGCTTTCAGGTTCATTCGGGATCCTTGCTGCAAACCTCGGACAAAGTTCTTCTCGTATATCTGACCTTGAACTTCCTGAAGAAGCTCGCAGCGACCCCTGCTGGCCGTGCCCGAGCCATAGGGAGAGGCTGGGGTCCCACCTTAGGGGAAAACGTCTGGGTCTGGCACCTGACGGGGCATGGGCCGAGCTCCCTTAGGACGCCCCCGGGTCTCCACCCCGCTGCTGATATCGTGGGCACATGGAGGCCACAGGGCCACACTGGGGTCTGTGCTGGGCCCCGGGCAAGCTGGCAGGTACTCTCCACGGGGCGCACCCAGAGGTTGGATTCCTGGAGCTGGCTGGCTGGGGAGACTGTGGCAGAAGCAGAGGCCGTGGGGCCCCCAGACCCTAGCGGGGTTAGGCTGTCTTTGCTGTTCTCCACAGAGGCCTGGCCAAGGCTGGCCCTGTCCCCAAGTGGGGAATTCCTGCTCTGATTTGCGCTGGTGGACAGGTCACTGTTGGCAGGGGGACAGGGGTAGTCTTCGCCTGCAGGTTAAGAGGCTGGCACGCACGTTGCCTGTGCTGTGGCCCTTCTCCCTGCCCCATCCTCCTCAGGATGCCTGTGCCACTCCTCCGAGCATTAGAGTGGCAGTTGAGGAAGGTAATGGCAGGTGGCTGAAACAGCTGCTTTCAGTTGGTAGGGACCCTAAACTGTACGTTGTGGGGTGGGAAAGAATGCTCCTGGTGGTAAGGTACGCTGAGGGCTGAAGGTCAGGCTGAGGGGCCCTCCTGCTGGGACCTCTCATAACCCAGGAGCAGATATGGGCCATTACCTCATGGTATTTCTGACCTGTCAGTGAGTCCTGGATCCCTCTTTCCATGTGTAAAACTCATGGACACCAGGAATTCAGTCTGCAGGGGTTTCTGCAGTCAGAGAGTGGCTCCACATAGGGCTTTAGTTCCTTACGTTCATGACCCACAATAATTCATGGAGCCTTCACAATTTCCTCTTAATTCTCACTGATAATCAGAAATTTCTTAAACAGATTTTCACATTCATGAACATGTAGAAGGGATAATACATTCCGCTCTATATCCCTCCAATAGCCCCCCGAAGTTCGTCCATCATAAGGCAGGAACCTGGAAACCAGTGTGTATGGAACCACTTCCATGTTCCATACATCCACCAGGTTGTACTTTGACCTTGGAAGAGTTTGGGGTCAGCATAAGAGTGATGGCCACAGAAAGTATCCAGCTTGTTGCAAAAGGTGAATTTGTTGCTAAACTCAAAGTCTGATGTTCCTGTTAGTGTCCAAGAGCAGGTTTTCTGCCTTTCAGTCTCTGGGCAGTGTACTTCTGGTTGCAGCACAGAACACACTGGTGGAATTTGCCTTCAGCCTCTTCTCTTTCTTGTTGCCATGAGCCACTCAAACACCTCCCTTCCACTAGCGTCCTTCCTAACTAGGCAGAGCATTCCCTCAATTTTCATCACTTCAAATATTTCAGTATGTTGGAAGGATCCAGCCTTTATGACCCTGCTTTGCAGGAAAGTCTCTGGAGGATTCTGTTGAGTCTCCTCAATGATCTTTACAGCTGTCGCTTCCCCAGTCGGGATGTGCTGGGCCAGTGTCACTGCAGCTGGCTTACCCTTGCCAGTGTTCTTGAGGAGACTGTCGTCACTGTGAGTCTCCTCAGCAGAGATGGCTGAGAGGCCCTGTAGCGGGTTGGACTCATTGCTGCGCTTGGAGTCAGTGTCCTTAGACCAGCTTACATTTGGGAAAAGCTGGTGAGAAGCTTGGTCCAAATAATCTCAGAAGAAAATCAGTTCAAAGTTAATCTTGATGAACTGATGCTTATAACAGAATCAAAACACAATGCCAGACAAAAAGGAAAACTAAACTGAAGAAATACTGACAAAGAGAAAAAAATGAATAAAAAGGGAAATGATAAAAGTAAAAAAGAAAAGAACAAAAAGTAGAAATGAGAAAAAGAAAATAGAGGAAAAAATCCCCAACAACAAAACAGACCAAATGCCGAGGAGGAAAAAGCTAAATTTAGTCAAAGTTTTGCAGGTCACTGAAAGCAGCTTCCTGAGCCAGAAGAACTGATAACTTAGGCCCAGCCAGAGACTTGTATGGTTCTTGAAATTCCAAAATAATATCTCCTTCTGAGGTCATAGGAAGAAATGGACCTGTCTACAAGGTTAGGGATAATCCACAATGATTTTCTCACTTTCTGGTCTCAGGTGAGACCCTTTTACTCTTTAAAAAAAATTAAGAGCTTTTTATGTGGGTTACAGCAGTCAATATTCACTTTATTAGAAGTTAAAACCTGTAGGATGCTTCAGTGCCTTCTCATTTCTAGTATGAAAAGCTGTAATAATGTTTAGCTTTTAAAGAGCTCATAATGTCCACACTTAAAGATACTCAATCCTTTAAATGAATGGTCTCAAAACGATGCCCCAACGTAACTGGCATTATGGTCTTGTGTGAAAATGTTTCGGGCATAAGACACAATAAGGTACATCAACAGCTGTAACACTGAGGGGAAGATAATCTGCATCATATTTTCATTTACGCAGTTTCGCCCTGTTGTTAGGAGTAGAGGACTCACACCGCCAGTTTCAGTATCTCTAAGCGTAAAGGTTGCAACTCTTAGGCAACAATCCATTGTGCTCTGTGTCCCTCCTGTTCAGCATGGGGCTGGAGGAGGGGGTGGGCGGGTGTTGGACATGTCACTAGTACCCCAGAAGAGGGAACCAAGATGCCTTTACATGATTTTTTAAAAACATGAGGTATACTACAGATACAGGAAAGTGCACAAATCATTAGTGTGCTGCTTGGTGGCTGCCCACAATTGAGCTTGTATACTTACTCAGCCACAGATCAAGAAACAGGTCTAAGCAGCTCCCCGGGGCCCTCCCACTCCTCCTTTCCAGTCACTTTGTCCACAGGGTAACCTCTGCGCTGCCTTCTAACAGCACGAATGTTTTGCTTGCTTTTGAACTTTACAGAAGTCGAATCACGCTTCTCTTGCTTACTGTTTTTGTGAGATTCATCTGTACTGTTTACTTTGCTATTCTATATGCTGACAGTAGCCCACTGTTTATCTGTTTTGCTCAGGCTTTGGATGTTAAGAATAGTATTGCTTTGAACTTGCTTGTTCCAGTCTTTGCTGGGCATTTACATGGTTTTCTGTTGGATATAAACCTAGAAATGGAATTTCTGGCTTAAAAGGTACACGTATTTTTGGTTTTAGTAGATACTGTTTGTACCAATTTACACACCAAATGGCAGTGTATGAGAGTTCTGTTTCCCCTCTGACACCTAGTATTCCCTGCCTTTTAATCTCAGCCTTTCCGTGGGTGTGGGTGTGTGGTACTGTAGCACTGTGGTTTTCATTGGCATTTCCTTGATGCCTAATGAAGTAGAACACCTTTAATATGCTTATCGGCCATTTCCTTTTCTGTGAAGTACCTGTTCAGGTCTTTTGCCTATTTTTCTATTGGGTTGCCTGCATTTTTCTTACTGGCTTGTGGGTATTATATAGTATGAATTTTCTGCTGGATATGGCTCTGTATACATTTCCTCTCCTTCCCATCCATCTCTGTTAACTCTCTGATGCCACCTCCTACCATTTTACCCATTGATCATCCCTGTCCTGTCATTGGCTTCCTATTCTTTGAATATGACATGCCAGGCACACTCCCACCTCAGGGCTCTACACTAATTTCATTTCTGCCTGGAATGTTCTTTCCCAGACATACACATAGATCTCTTCCCCATCTCCTTCAAGTCTTTGCTCCATGGTCACATCAGGAAGTGAAGCCTTCCCTGATCTACCTGTTTATTGTTCCTGCAACACCCCTTAGATGGACATCCTATCTGACATCCCTATCCATAGCTTAACGAAAACCTTCATGCTAATAAAATTTTCAAATACACATTAGAAAAAAAATAGTATAAATCCTTTTCCTCATGTATCTGTCATCCAGCATCAATAATTAGCAATATTTTTGCCATCCTATCCATAAATACTTCAGTCGGCATTGCTAATAAGGTTTTTTTGGAAAAACAGTCAACATGCCATCACTGAATCTAACAAAACTAACAGTATCATATAATACTAGTCCACGTTCAAACTTCCCAGTTGCCTCAAAGATGTCGTTATAGTTGACATGTTTGAATAAAGGTCCAAAGAAGGTACATACATTGCTTTGTATTTTTCCCATAGCAATATCAACATCCAAAATACTATATATTTTACATATTTAATTGTTTATTGTCTGTCTCTGCCATTAATATCAAGTCCATGCAAGTGGGAGTTTTGTCCCTTTGTCCTGGAGGAAAGAGGGGCACCTAGGGTTTCCCCAGAATCTCTCACAACGCCAGAGCCAGGCCTTAGCCATTCACCTAGAATGGCTACTGGCACATAGTAGGCTTGAATAAATGTTTGTAAAATGAATGGATGAATGAAGACCATCTAATGGCCCAAAGGGTATGCTCTATCAACATGGTCAAATCTGTTACTTTCATGCTCTAAAACTTTAGGCAACTTTCTGAGCTTCACTTTTCTCATCTGTAAAATGGGACTAAGAACTCTCATACACTGCCAATGGGTGTTGCCAGCACGGTTGTTTTGAGTATTAGACAAAGTGCATGTACAGTGCCTGGCACCTAGTATACTCACCATATAGCTATTCTTATTTTTCATTGTAACTGTTTTTACAAGGCATCAGCAGATTAAAAGTGTATAGTAAAGAACTTGGCCTTGTTCACAGAGGTCTGGCCTTTGTCTCTGGTTCCTGGGAGGTAATCTTTAAACCCTTTGAATTTTTCAGGTGACAGGAGTGTCTTTGTTATTCATGAGGGCCCCTAGGCCCACACCTAATAGTTTATAATAACGAGGTGACTTATGGTAAGCTGGTTAGGCCAGGTGACAGCCTGACCTCCAGGAAGCGGGGTGGGGCTGGAGACTTAAGTTCAGCCCCATGGACAATAATTCAGTCATTCATACTTACATACTGAAGCCCTATTAAAAAAAACTCAATGCACTGAAGCTTGAATGAGCTTCCCTGGTTGACCACACTCCATGCATATTGTCATACACTGATATCAATACCGGGAGGGTAATCCATTCTGAGGACAGTGGAAGCTTTGCATTTGCAACCCTCTAAGACTCTGCCCCATGTGTCTCTTCTTTTGGCTAATTTTTATCTGTATCCTTTCCCTGAAATAAATTGTAACTGTGAGTATAATAGTTCTCAATGAGTTCTGTGGTTCCTTTTAGCAAATTATTCAACCTGAGGATGGTTTTGGAGACTTGAACTTGCAGTCAGTATCAAGGGAAGCAGGACGCCTGGGTTCTCCTCCAGGCCACTCACTGGCTGTGTGAACTGAGACCAGCCATTTGGTCTCACTGGCCTCAGTTTGCTCATCTGCAAAATGAAGAGGGCAAACCAAATGGTCTCTTGGTTCCTGTTAGCCTTGCCATTGAATTCTCTTTTTCTCAGGGAGTATATGCCTCTGTATGCAAACACACAAGATGTATGCAGAAGCCAGTCAGATGAGAGGCCACAACCCTTCATTCTCGGGCAAAGATGACAGAAGGACCCCTTCCTGGAGTAGTCAAGCTGATGTGATGAATTCATGAATTGCCTTCTTCTGTCTTCCCTGTTCCCTGGAGAGAGTCGGGTGTTTGCTTCCTGGGTTGACAAACGGTGCTCTGACCACAGTGTCATGACTAGTAGCAGTCTCTCTGCTTTCTTCAAGTCCCTCCTGAGGTCCTGATCAGTGGTTTTCACCATGCCGACCCTCCCACCCCACCCCCTTACCTATCTCATTCTCTCCCACCTTGTCTCCTTCCCATTTTCCACATCCCAGTTAAAGCCTGGAGGAAAGAGGGGCACCTAGGGTTTCCCCAGAATCCCTCACAACTCCAGAGCCAGGCCTTAGGCTTCACATAAGACCTGCTACCAATCCTTGAGCTCTTGCTGTGGGCTGGGCAGGGTGTTTTCATAATCGATGTCATTTCATCCTCACAGCCCTGAGGGTGAGAGATTACTGTCCTCACTTTACAGGGGAGGGATCGAGGCCAGAGTGGTTGAGTAACTTGCCTGAACAGGAAGCAGACATGAATCCAAGTCTGGCAGATCCCACAGTCTTGATCACTCATTCTGTTGTTTTTTGAGCCTCTCTAACAGTGGGCTCGCAGACTTGAAATTGGGGCTAGCATGGTATGGTATGTTAATTATGCTCAGTTTTTCACCCCTTTCTGTATTCACACTTCTGGTACTATCCTCCTACACTGATTCTGAGTCTGGCCTCACCACTGCTTTAGCCAGTAAAATGTGGCAGAAATTGACAGTTACGTCACTTTCTAGCCTAGGCCTCCAGATGCCTTTGCATACTTACATTCTCTTTCTCTGGGGCTTCTACCACTGCCTACCAGAGGATGATGGAGCACAAGGGAGGTAGCCCTGCAGTCTCAGTCTGGGCCTGCAGCCCTGCCCACACGTGGGAGATAGCCTCACTGCGATCAGAGATCTCACAGCTGAGAACAGTTGTGTAAATGAGCCTAATCAAGACCAAAAGAACCACACAAATGGCCTGTAGACCCATGGGCAATAATAAATTCTTACTGTGTAAAGCCGTTGGGCTTTAGGGTAATATGCTGCACTAACTAACTGAAACATAAGGAAAACCGAGCCACAAAGTTCTGTGATTCCTTAGAATTTCTAGAGTCCTTTTCATTATTCTTCTCTGGGCCCATAATACTCTCCCTCCCTGCATCCCTTTACACCACCTCCCTGCCAGCTCCATAGCAACTCAGCACCTGCTGGCTGCTGACATGAACATTCTAGTCTTTCTGAGCACTTCTTAGCCTGCATGTCCTTTCTGCACCCCTGGGCAGCTTGCCCTCCTCTCAGAACCCCTCAGAAGCTGAATAATATCCCTTTGTGTGTATATGCCACATTTTCTCATCTGTTGATGGAAATTCAGGCTGTTTCCATACTTGGTTATTGAGAATAGTGCACATGGATGTGCAGATTATTCCCTGAGAGTCCTAGATGCACCTGTGGACATTATGCTAAGTGAAATAAGGCAGTCACAAAAGAACACATACTGGATGATTTCACTTATGTGTGGTACCTGGAGTGCAGAAGCATAGAAGAGGAGAATAGAATGGTGGTTACCAGGGGCTGGGGAATGGAAGGGGGGAGTTGCTATTCAGTTGGTATAAAGTGTCACTTGTGAGAGAGGACTTTATTCTAGAGCTCTGCTGTAGGGCTTGGTGCCTATAATCTGCAATACCGTATTATGCACTTAAAAATTTAAGAGGGTAGATCTCATCTTAGGTGTTCTTACCACAAGACAAAGGGACACAAATGTCTAGAGGGGATGAATATGTCTGTTACCTTGATTGTGGTGATGGTTTTGCAGGTGTATGCATATGTCCAAACTCATCAAATGTGCGCAATTTTTTGTACATACCAAATATACCTCCATGAAGCTGTTTAAAAAAAAGCAGCAGCCCATGGTGCACGTGGAGCCAGTGTTTCAGCCCAACTGTGTGCTGTGGACTTTGATTAAAGAAATTGGCCTGGTGGTTCATAGGAAAGTGGTGAAGCCAGTTTCCCCTGCTCTATCCTGTAGTGTTTGGGGGCCAGGAGGCTGCAGGAGAGAATCCTGGAGTTAAGGGAGCAGAAGCTTTGGCAGGAAGGTGAACCTGCTGTGGCTCTCAGTCCTCGAGCCTGTGCTGTGGCTTGACATCCGGCCTCCGGAGGCCTGCTGGAGGTAAGTGCTGCTCGGAGGGCCCTGTAAGTGGCTGCTGGCCCAGGCCTCTGGATGCGCGGGTCCCAAATCCAGCTTCCTCCCTGAACTTTCATCTCTCCCATTCCTCTGGTCAAGGAACCACCATCGCTTCAGGCTGCCAAACTGGTTTGTTTAGAGGGCTTTGAGCAGAAGCAGAAAGTGATCTCACGTTTTAATAGGATCCCTCCGGTTGCTGGTCTGCAAGGAAGCAAAGGAGAAGCAAGGAGATGAGTCAGGAGGGTGGAGATGACAGGGGCTTAGACTGTGGCATGGGCCAGGTGGGAGCCAGCAGTAAGGTGAGATGTGGTTGCATTATGGATGTATTCTGAGGATACAGCTGAAAGATGCTGATGAATTCGATGTTGGGAGTAAAAGAAAAGGTTTCACAATTTTGGCACTGAGCAACAGAAAGGGCAGAGATTAATAGAGGTGGGAGGAGCCAGAGGAGCAGGCTGCGATGAGTGGGGGAAGAGAAAGAAGAGCTCAGAATGCTGGGTTGGGCACCCAGAAATCAAAGCCATGGTACCAGTTCTGCCCTGCATTAATCACAGCATTTACTAATTGTGTGTAGATACCAGGCTTTCTTCTCAGTGCCGGACACACATCATCTCATTTTCACTGCAGCCCTATAAGGATTTCCTGATCCTCACCTTGCAGATGAGAGGAAACAGGCTCAGAGAGGTTAAGTGATTTGCTGCCCAGGAGCAAGTAGCAGAAAAGCCAGGACTCAAACCCAGTATGTCTAACCTCAAAACCCAAGCTCCTGGGCAGGCACAAAACTGCGTTCCAAGTCCTCTATCCACTTTGACTTGCTGGGCCTAATCAAGGGCTTAAGGGAAAGATCACTACATCCTCTGTAAATATACCTAATGTGGACTTATGCCTCTCTCTCTGAGGACATTTAGGACCGACGTTCAGTGCGAGGGCTTTGAGAAATAGCTGCAGTGGAAAGTAGGACAAAGAAAATGCCAAGATGACCCAATTCTCAGTCTGAGAATATTGTGATGTATTATGAATGAGTCTTTCTGAAATACAGCTGAACACCTAGTTAAATAATTCATTCTCTGATATGAGACATTTTGAATGATTGGCTCTAATGGAATAATATTATTACTTGTTAACTGGAACATTCCATTAAATATGACACTATATTTTTTTCCTTACATCCCTAGCTTTCTCCTTTTGGGGAAAAAAAACCCACTGAGTTTCTGTAGAAAACATTACTTCCTGAGCCCTCACATGGAGTTTTTGTGTCATTAATAAGCCAGTCTTACTGGGAATAGGAGAAGCAGCAGAATCTGGTTGCAGGATTTTCACTCACATATTAAGACCTCAAGAGGAAGTAGATGTTCAAGGCTCTGGTCTCTGGGCTGGGACAGACTTCTGTTTGGATCCTGGATAAATTGCTTATTATGTAGGTAGGGTGGGCGCTGTTACACATACAGGTCCTTTAGAAAATTTTTCCCTTGTGATTTCTTCTCTCACCCATGAGTTACTTGAAAGTGTGTTGTTCAACTTACAAATATTTGTGGAATTCCTAAATTTCCTACTGTTTTTATTTATAATTTAATTACATTGTGGTCAGAAGACATACTTCCTATGATTTCAACCTGTTCATATTTACTGAGAATTGCTTTTTTTTTTATCCTGTTTTTTTTATCCCAGAGAATGTTCTGAGTATGTTTAGATAAAAACTTGAGAAGAATGTATATTCTGCGTCATTGGGTGGAGTGTTCTATAATTGTCAGATCAAACTGGAAAGTGCTGTATATCCTGTCTAATTGTCTATTTCTCATTTCAATCTGTCAGCTTTTTCTTCACATATTTTGAGTCCCTATTATTAGGTACATATACAATTATAATTTTTATATCTTCTTGATGTAGTGACCCTTTTATTATTATGGCATATCCCTCTGTTTCTAGTAATATTTCTTAAAGTCCATTTTGACTGATATCAATATAGCCATTCCAGCTCTCTTTAGGATATTATTTGCATGGTAAATCTTTTTCCACCCTTTTACTTTCAAATTAGTTGCATCTTTGAATCTAAAGTGTATCTCTTGTATGGAGCACAAACTTGGATCTTGCTTTTTATCCAGTCTGATATTTTCTGTCTTTTGATTGGAATATTTTGTCTATTCATATTTGATATAATTATTAATATGGTTGGATTTACAACCAGCCACTTTACAATTTGTTTTCTGTGTGTATGCTCATTTACTGACTTTAAAAAAATTAATTAATTATTATATTTTTTTTGGTATCATTAATGTACAATTACTTGAACAACATTATGGTTACCAGACTCCCTCTATTATCAAGTCCCCACCACATACCTCATTACAGTTACTGTTCATTAGCATAGTAAGATGCTATAGAATCATTACTTGCCTTCTCTGTGTTATACTGCCTTTCCCATGTCCCCCGCCG